GGGATACCCCAAGTGATGGAGATACCCCTAGCGATGGAGCCACCCCAAGGGATGGAGATACCCCAAGTGATGGAGCCACCCCAAGTGATGGAGCCACCAACATCCTTGGACCCACCTCAGCCAATGAGAACACCCCAAGTGATGGGGATACCCCAAGCGATGGAGCCACCCCAAGGGATGGAGATACCCCAAGTGATGGAGCCACCCCAAGTGATGGGGATATGCCAAGTGATGGAGCCACCAACATCCCTGGAGCCACCTCAGCCAATGAAACCCCCCCAAGTGCTGGGGTTACCCCCATTGATGGCGATACCCCAAGTGCCAGCGCCACCTCCACCCGCACCCCGTCACCCCCATCACCGGGCCCCATTGACGACCTCCTGCCGCCGCTGGGGCAGCCGCTGCCCGCGGGTTGGGTGACCCTGGAAGGGGACTTCGTGCTGGTGCTCGCCATGGCCCAGTCCCACCTTGGCGCGGAGCTGGTGGCGGCCCCACAAGCCCGCCCCGACGACGGCCTCGTGCACGTGTGCTACGTGCGAGGCGGGGTGTCGAGGGCCTCGCTGCTGCGGGCGCTGCTCGCCATGGCCCGCGGAGGGGGGGGGTCCCCCTGCACCCTGGCCCGGGTCCCGGCCCGAGCCTTCCGTTTGGAGCCGTTGTCCCCCCGAGGGACGCTGACGGTGGACGGGGAGCGCGTGGAGTACGGGGCCGTGCAGGGGCAGGTGCACCGAGGGCTGGCCAGGCTGCTGACACCCCCCCCGCTGCAGTAATGGGGCAGGGAGGGGGGGGGATGGAGGGGGGGAAAGGGGCAGGGGATGGGGGGAACCCCATGGATGGGGGAGCCCAAGGGGATGGGGGGAACCCCATGGATGGGGGAGCCCAAGGGGAAGGGGGGAACCCCACGGATGGGGGAGCCCAAGGGACAGGGGATGGGGGGAACCCCATGGATGGGAGAACCCAAGGGACAGGGGGTGGGGGGAACCCCATGGATGGGAGAGCCCAGGGGACAGGGGATGGGGGGAACCCCATGGATGGGGGAGCCCAAGGGACATGAGAGGGGGTACCCCCAAGAATGGGAGAACCCAAAGTAAATGGGATGGGGGACCCATGGATGGGAGACCCCAAGGGACATGGCATGGGCGAAACTCCATGGATGGGGGAGCCCAAGGGACAGGGGATGGGGGGAACCCCATGGATGGGGGAGCCCAAGGGACAGGGGATGGGGGGAACCCCATGGATGGGGGGGAGCCCATGGATGGGAGAGCCCAAGGGACAGGGGATGGGGGGAACCCCATGGATGGGAGAGCCCAAGGGACAGGGGGGAACCCCATGGATGGGAGAACCCAAGGGACATGAGAGGGGGTACCCCCAAGAATGGGAGAACCCAAAGTAAATGGGATGGGGGACCCATGGATGGGAGAGCCCAAGGGACAGGGGATGGGGGGAACCCCATGGATGGGAGAACCCAAGGGACAGGGGGTGGGGGGAACCCCATGGATGGGAGAGCCCAGGGGACAGGGGATGGGGGGAACCCCATGGATGGGAGAGCCCAAGGGACATGAGAGGGGGTACCCCCAAGAATGAGAGAACCCAAAGGAAATGGGATGGGGAACCCATGGATGGGGAGCCCAAAGGGAAGGGGGGAACCCCATGGATGGGTCAGCCCAATAGACATGGGATGGGGGGAACCCCATCGATGGGAGAGCCCAAGGGACATGGGATGGGGGGAACCCCACGAATGGGAGAGCCCAAGGGATATGGGATAGGGGGAACCCCACGAATGGGAGAGCCCAAGGGATATAGGATAGGGGGAACCCCACAAATGCGAGAGCCCAAAGTAAATGGGAAGGGGGAACCCCATGGATCAGACAGCCCAAGGGATATGAGAGGGGGGACCCCCATGGATGAGACAGCCCAAATGGTCAGCCCCCCCCCCCCCCCCCAATTGGATACCCCCAAGAGGTCTGGGCTGGGGGAGGACAACCCAGAGGGTTGGGGGGGCTTAAAGGGACCCCACAATGGGGAGGCCCAAAGGACCCGGTTATTGCCCCCCCCCCCCCCCCCCAATGTGCTATGCAATAAAGTGTAACTGTGGAGCGAGCTCAGTGCTTGGGGGGGGGGGATGGGGGCATGACCCGGTTTGACCCCCCCATCACATTCCCCCCCCATCCTAATGGTTCAGTCGAGGGTCACAGGTTTATTCTATACAAAAGCCCCCCCTCCCCCCCATCGCCCCTCATCGCGACCCCCAAATCCCACGTGCGGGGGGGGGGTGGGGGAGGGGCAGTAAAGTGGTCAAAGTGCAGGGGGGGAGGGGCTGGACCCCCCTCAATGGGTGTTGGGGGGAGGGGCTGGAGTCAAGGGGCCCTCCCCCCCAGTGACGTTACTGGCCTGCACTGGAAATGGGTCACTGGGGGGGAATGGGGTCCTATGGAGGGGGAGGGGGGTCTGTGGGGTGCAGGGGGGGGAGGGGCACCCAGCACTTGGGGCCCCCCCATTGTGCTTTGAACCAGCCATGGGGCTGGGGAATAAATATGGGGGGAGGCACCCCCCGAATGGGGGGGTTCCCTATGGGGGGGGGGGGGGATGTGGATGGACCCCTATGGGGGTGTCCAGGCCTGGTGTGGGGGGTGGGGAACAGTCCTGTTTTGGGGGTCCCCCACCATGGGGGGGGGGGGTCTGGCTGGATCCTGATGCCAGTTCTGGATCAGGGCTGGAAATGGGATCCAGGGATGGATCCCGGTGCCAGATCCCAGCCCCGTTTCCAGGCTGATCCCAATTCCTGGAGCTGGATCCCAGTGCCCGGCTCCGGCTGTTGGGATCCCTGTGGGGAATGGGATCTTGCCATGGGATTCCCTCCAAGAAGCATTCCATGCCCCCCCCCCCCCCCCCAATACCAGACCACCCCATTCCATACCGGATCACCCCATTCCATGCCAGATCATCACATCCCGCACCCCTACATCCTGCACCACCGCCCCATCACATTCCAGCCCTCCCCATCCCATGCACCTCATCCCATCCGGTCCCCCCCATCCCACACTGTTCCATAGCCCTCCATCCTGCACCCCCCCTCAATCCCATCCCAACTTCCCCACCCCATAACCCCCCATCATGTACCCTCCAATCCCATCCCGTCTCCCCCATCCCATCCCCTGCATCCCGCACCCCTCCATGCCATCCCCTATCCCCAGTGACATACCCCCCAATCCCACCCTTCTCTCCCCATCCCATCCACCCCCATTCCATCCCATTCCATCTTCTCCCAATCCCATCCTATCCTGCACCCCGCATCCCCTATGATGTACCCCCCCAACCACATCCTTCCCTCCCCATCCCATCCCCATCCCATCTGGTCCCCTGCATCCCGCACCCCTCCATGCTGTCCTACACCCTGCATCCCCCATGATGTATCCCCCCATCCCATCCTTCCCTCCCCTGCCATCCTGCTCTCTCCATCCCATTCTATTCCATCCTTCCCTTCCCATCCCATCCCATCCACTGCATCCTGCACCCTGCATCCCCCATGACTCACCCCCCCCCCAAATCCCATCCTTTTCTCCCCATCCCGAAACCGCCATCCCATGCTTCCCTCCACATCCCATCCCATTCCATCCTGTTCTTCCCATCCCACCCTATCCCATTCTATTGCATCCTACCCTTCCCATCCCATCCCATCCCATTCCATCCCTATCCCAACCCATCCCATCCGCCTCCCGCATCCCCCATGACGTACACCCCCAATCCCATCCTTCCCTCCTCATCCCATCCCACACCACCCATCCCATCCTTCCCTCCCCATCCCATCCCGCTCCTCCCATCCCATTCCACCCCATCCCCATCCCATTCTGTCCCCTGCATCCCGCACCCCGCATCCCCCATGATGTACCAATAACATCCTTCCCTCCCCATCCCATCCCGCTCCTCCCATCCCATTCCACCCCATCCCCATCCCATTCTGTCCCCTGCATCCTGCACCCTGCATCCCCCATGATGTACCAATAACATCCTTCCCTCCCCATCCCATCCCGATTGCATCCCCATCCCATCCCATTCCATCCCCATCCCAACCCATCCCATCTGCATCCCGCACGATGCATCGCCCATGATGTACCCCCTCCATCCTTTCCTTCCCTCCCCTCCCCATCCCATCCTTCCCCATCCCATCCTACTCTTCCCATCCCATTCCACCCCATCCCACCCTGTCCCCTGCATCCCACACCCCGTATCCCCCATGATGTACCAATAACATCCTTCCCTCCCCATCCCCATCCCATCCCCATCTTGTTCTATCCCATCCCCATCTCATCGTATCCGGTCCCATCCCCATCCCCACCTCATCCTATCCTATCCTATCCTATCCTATCCTATCCTATCCTATCCTATCCCATCCCCATCCTATCCCCATCCCCATCCCATTCTATCCCCATACCCACCCCATCCTCACCCCACCCCACCCCAACCCTTCCCATCCCCATCCCCACCCCACCCCATCCCCATCCCCATCCCCACCCCACCCCACCCCATCCCATCCCATCCCCATCCCCATCCCCACCCCACCCCACCCCACCCCATCCCCATTCCCATCCCCACCCCACCCCACCCCACCCCATCCCATCCCCATCCCCATCCCAATCCCATCCCCACCCCATCCCATCCCCATCCCCATCCCCACCCCATCCCATCCCTATCCCCATCCCCACCCCACCCCACCCCATCCCAATCCCATCCCATCCCCACCCCATCCCAATCCCATCCCATCCCCACCCCATCCCATCCCCATCCCCACCCCATCCCCATCCCATGCCCATCCCCATCCGCATCCCCACCCAATCCCCACCCCATCCCCATCCCCACCCCACCCCATCCCCATCCCATCCCATCCCCACCCCACCCCACCCCACCCCATCCCATCCCCATCCCCACCCCACCCCATCCCCATCCCATCCCCATCCCCACCCCATCCCCATCCCATCCCCATCCGCATCCCCACCCCACCCCACCCCATTACCAGCTCTCAGAGCGCCCCGTGCCGGGCCTCGTAGCGCGCCAGGAGCCCCCGGAATCGCGCCAGCTCCCTGCGGGCCGCGGCCACGTCCTGCCTCAGCGCCGCGTTCTCCCGCTCCAGAAAGGCCGCGCGCACCGAGATCTGGTTCTCCTTGAGCCGCCGCGCGTCCCGCGAGCGCTTCGCCGCCGCGTTATTGCGGCTGCGCCGGCTCCAGTACCGCTCGTCCTATGGGGGGGACAGGGGGGCCTCAACACAGCCCACAGGGTGCCCATGGGGTCCCATAGAGCTGTGTGTGTGTGCCCATGGGGTCCTATAGAGCTGTGTGTGTGCCCATGGGGTCCTATAGAGCTGTGTGTGTGCCCATGGGGTCCTATAGAGCTGTGTGTGTGTGCCCATGGGGTCCTATAGAGCTGTGTGTGTGTGCCCATGGGGTCCTATAGAGCTCTGTGTGTGTGCCCATGGGGTCCTATAGAGCTGTGTGTGTGCCCATGGGGCCCTATAGAGCTGTGTGTGCCCATGGAGTCCTATAGACCTCTGTGTGTGCCCATGGAGTCCTATAGACCTCTGTGTGTGCCCATGGGGTCCTACAGAGCTCTGTGTGTGTGACCATGGGGTCCTATAGAGCTGTGTGTGTGACCATGGGGTCCTATAGAGCTGTGTGTGTGTGCCCATGGGGTCCTATAGAGCTCTGTGTGTGTGCCCATGGGGTCCTATAGAGCTGTGTGTGTGCCTATGGGGTCCTATAGAGCTGTGTGTGTGTGTGCCCATGGGGTCCTATAGAGCTGTGTGTGTGACCATGGGGTCCTATAGAGCTGTGTGTGTGCCCACTGGGTCCTATAGAGCTCTGTGTGTGCCCATGGGGTCCTATAGAGCTCTGTGTGTGCCCATGGGGTCCCATAGAGCTGTGTGTGTGTGCCCATGGGGTCCTATAGAGCTGTGTGTGTGTGCCCATGGGGTCCTATAGAGCTGTGTGTGTGCCCATGGGGTCCTATAGAGCTGTGTGTGTGCCCATGGGGTCCTATAGAGCTCTGTGTGTGCCCACTGGGTCCTATAGAGCTCTGTGTGTGTGTGCCCATGGGGTCCTATAGAGCTGTGTGTGTGCCCATGGGGTCCTATAGAGCTGTGTGTGTGCCCATGGGGTCCTATAGAGCTGTGTGTGTGCCCATGGGGTCCTATAGAGCTGTGTGTGTGCCCATGGGGTCCTATAGAGCTCTGTGTGTGCCCACTGGGTCCTATAGAGCTCTGTGTGTGTGTGCCCATGGGGTCCTATAGAGCTGTGTGTGTGCCCTTTGAGTCCTATAGAGCTGTGTGTGTGCCCATGGGGTCCTATAGAGCTGTGTGTGTGCCCATGGGGTCCTATAGAGCTGTGTGTGTGCCCATGGGGTCCTATAGAGCTCTGTGTGTGCCCATGGGGTCCTATAGAGCTCTGTGTGTGTGTGCCCATGGTGTCCTATAGAGCTGTGTGTGTGCCCACGGGATCCTATAGAGCTGTGTGTGTGCCCATGGGGTCCCATAGAGCTGTGTGTGTGCCCATGGGGTCCTATAGAGCTGTGTGTGTGCCCATGGGGTCCTATAGAGCTGTGTGTGTGCCCATGGGGTCCTATAGAGCTGTGTGTGTGTGCCCATGGGGTCCTATAGAGCTGTGTGTGTGCCCATGGGGTCCCATAGAGCTGTGTGTGCCCATGGGGTCCTATAGAGCTGTGTGTGTGCCCATGGGGTCCTATAGAGCTGTGTGTGTGTGCCCATGGGGTCCTATAGAGCTGTGTGTGTGCCCATGGGGTCCTACAGAGCTCTGTGTGTGTGCCCATGGGGTCCTATAGAGCTGTGTGTGTGCCCATGGGGTCCTATAGAGCTGTGTGTGTGCCCATGGGGTCCTACAGAGCTCTGTGTGTGTGCCCATGGGGTCCTATAGAGCTGTGTGTGTGTGTGCCCATGGGGTCCTATAGAGCTGTGTGTGCCCATGGGGTCCTATAGAGCTGTGTGTGTGCCCATGGGGTCCTATAGAGCTGTGTGTGTGTGCCCATGGGGTCCTATAGAGCTGTGTGTGTGCCCATGGGGTCCTATAGAGCTCTGTGTGTGCCCATGGGGTCCTATAGAGCTGTGTGTGTGCCCATGGGGTCCTATAGAGCTGTGTGTGTGTGCCAATGGGGTCCTATCGAGCTGTGTGTGTGTGCCCATGGGGTCCCATAGAGCTGTGTGTGCCCATGGGGTCCTATAGAGCTGTGTGTGTGCCCATGGGGTCCTATAGAGCTGTGTGTGTGTGTGTGCCCATGGGGTCCTATAGAGCTGTGTGTGTGCCCATGGGGTCCTATAGAGCTGTGTGTGTGTGCCCATGGGGTCCTATAGAGCTGTGTGTGTGCCCATGGGGTCCTATAGAGCTCTGTGTGTGCCCATGGGGTCCTATAGAGCTGTGTGTGTGCCCATGGGGTCCTATAGAGCTCTGTGTGTGTGCCCATGGGGTCCTATAGAGCTGTGTGTGTGCCCATGGGGTCCTATAGAGCTGTGTGTGTGTGCCCATGGGGTCCTATAGCTCTGTGTGTGTGCCCATGGGGTCCTATAGAGCTGTGTGTGTGCCCATGGGGTCCTATAGAGCTGTGTGTGTGCCCATGGGGTCCTATAGAGCTCTGTGTGTGCCCATGGGGTCCTATAGAGCTGTGTGTGTGCCCATGGGGTCCTATAGAGCTGTGTGTGTGCCCATGGGGTCCTATAGAGCTGTGTGTGTGCCCATGGGGTCCCATGGGTGTGTGTGCCCATAGAGCTGTGTGTGTGTGAGCTGTGTGTGTGCCCATGGGTGTGTGTGCCTATAGAGCTGTGTGTGTGCCCATGGGGTCCTATAGAGCTCTGTGTGTGTCCATGGGGTCCTATAGAGCTGTGTGTGTGCCCATGGGGTCCTATAGAGCTCTGTGTGTGCCCATGGGGTCCCATAGAGCTGTGTGTGTGCCCATGGGGTCCTATAGAGCTGTGTGTGTGCCCATGGGGTCCTATAGAGCTGTGTGTGTGCCCATGGGGTCCTATAGAGCTGTGTGTGTGCCCATGGGGTCCTATAGAGCTGTGTGTGTGTGCCCATGGGGTCCTATAGAGCTGTGTGTGTGCTCATTGTGTCCTATAGAGCTCTGTGTGTGCCCATGGGGTCCTATAGAGCTGTGTGTGTGCCCATGGGGTCCTATAGAGCTGTGTGTGTGTGCCCATGGGGTCCTATAGAGCTGTGTGTGTGTGCCCATGGGGTCCTATAGAGCTGTGTGTGTGCCCATGGGGTCCTATAGAGCTCTGTGTGTGTGTGCCCATGGGGTCCTATAGAGCTGTGTGTGTGCCCATGGGGTCCTATAGAGCTGTGTGTGTGCCCATGGGGTCCTATAGAGCTGTGTGTGTGCCCATGGGGTCCTACAGAGCTCTGTGTGTGCCCATGGGGTCCTATAGAGCTGTGTGTGTGCCCATGGGGTCCTATAGAGCTGTGTGTGTGCCCATGGGGTCCTATAGAGCTGTGTGTGTGTGCCCATGGGGTCCTATAGAGCTGTGTGTGTGCCCATGGGGTCCTATAGAGCTCAATGTATGCCCATTGGTTCTACACCCCCCCCCCAAGTACCACTGGGGTCCCCACCTGTACACTGGGTGCCCCCATCCCTTTGTTGCCCAATGGACACCTCAGACCCCCCCCCCACCCCCCGGGTCCCACTTCCCCATGGGGTCCCCTCCACTCCAGTGTGTCCCCTCCCCCCCCAATTTGGGATTCACCCCTCTAGGGGTGCCCCCCCCCCCTCCCCCGGGCACCTTCTGCTCCTCGGGCACGTGCACCTTCCGCGCCTTCCTGGCGATGGGCTGGGGCCGCAGCTCGTCCTGCGAGAACCGGAGCCGCCGTGGGTCGAAGGGGGGGCCCCCCCCAAGCGCCTCCCCCTCCAGTGGGGGGGCCCCCCCTCCCGGCACCGGGGGGGTGGGAGGGCACCGGGGAGGGGGGGGGGCGGCGGCTGCAAACGGAGGTGGGGGGAGGGGAGAGAGTGAGAACAGGGGCAATGGGAGGGGGTTTGTATCGCGATAGAGGATCCTTATCGGAACGGGAGGGAGTTTATATCACGATAGAGGGTTCTTATGCCAATGGGCGGGAGTTTATATCACGATAGAGTGGTCTTATACCAATGGGCGGGAGTTTATATCACGATAGAGTGGTCTTATACCAATGGGCGGGAGTTTATATCACGATAGAGGGTTCTTATACCAATGGGCAGGAGTTTATATCGTGATAGAGGGCTCTGATTGCAACGGGAGGGAGTTTATATCATGATAGAGGGCTCTGATTGCAACCGGAGGGAGTTTATATCACGATAGAGGGTTCGTATACCAATGGGAGGGAGTTTGTATTGTAATAGAGGGCTCTGATTGCAACGGGAGGGTGTTTATATCACGATAGAGGGGTCTTATGGCAATGGGAGTTTGTATCGCGATAGAGCGTCCCCATGGCAACAGGAAGGAGTTTACATTGTGATAGAGGGGCCTCATGGCAATAGGAGAGAGTTTATATCACGACAGAGGATCCTTATGGCAACGGGAGTTTATGTTGTGATAGAGGGTCCTTATGGCAATGGGAGTCTATATCATGATAGAGGGTCCTTATGGCAATGGGAGGGAGTTTACATTGCGATCAAGGGGCCTTACAGTGACAGGAGAGAGTTTGTATCACAATAGAGGGAGCTTACAGCAATGGGAGAGAGTATATCACGACAGAGGGTCCTTACGGCAACGGGAGGGGGTTTTTATCACTATAGAGGGTCTTCATGGCAATGTGAGGGGGATTATATCGTGATAGAGGGGCCTTATCGCAATGGGAGGGAGTTTATATTGCGACAGAGGGGGCTTATTGCAATGGGAGGGGGCTTATATCACGACAGAGGGTCCTTATGGCAACATGAGGGAGTTTATATCGCGATAGAAGGGCCTTAGCACAATGGGAGGGGGTTTATATCGTGACAGAGGGGTCTTATCGCAATGGGAGGGGGTTATATTGCTATGGAGGGTCTTTATGGCAACGCGAGGGAGTTTATATCGTAATAGAGGGGCCTTAGCGCAATGGGAGGGGGGTTATATCGTGATAGAGGAGCCGTAGTGCAATGGGAGGGGGTTTATATTGCGATAGAGGGGCCTTATCGCAATGGGGGCTGGACCCGGCTCCCTCCCTGCACTTCCCCCCCCCCCTTTCGCACCGGGGCTCGGGGGGAGCCCGTGCTCCCGCAGGAACTCGTCCAGATCCACGTATTCCAGCTCCGGGGCCCCGGGACCGCGCTCCCACGGGGGGGGCCCCCCGAAGGCACCGGGGGGGGCGTCCATCACCCTGGAACACGTGACCCGATCATGGGGGGGGGGGGGCACACACACACACATGGGACACGTGGGGAGGGGGGGCGGGGAAAGGGGGGCACACCCCGCACGTGCGGTGCTCACGTGGGGGCGCCCACGTGCGGCTTCACCTCGGGTGACCCCGGGGTGGATTCCCACGGTAGAGGGAGGGTGGGGGAAGCCCACG